GGTAGTCAAAATAAAAGAATTGACATGAAAATTGATATTTGTAGAACATTTATTAATTAGGCCTATATTTAATTGTGTATCCCAGAGCACAGCGTTAATATCGTAAAGCTAAATTCAAACGATAAAAAACAATGGCAAGCTTGTTAGATAATCATGTTCAGTCGCAGTGCAATATCGGCTTTGGTCTTCTGTTTGTTGGTAACTTGCCTTCCACTTTCTTGATGTCGCCCACAAGATTTTTTAAATATGTCAGTAATCAGTATATGCCTAAAATAACCAAAACCGTAAGTAATCAGAGGGAAATATTGATTGTATTTTTTATGAAATAAATGTAACCATAACGTATAAATTATATACGTTCATGGTCGGTAGTTTTAATGTCTATATGAACGCATGTGGACGGACGCACACGCACACACACGCACACACACACACACACACACACACACACACACACACACACACACACACACACACACACACACACACACACACACACACATGTACATAAGTGTATAATTGTGTTAACCTCCCACAATTTATGCGGGTGGGCAGAAGTGATACGACTGAAACAGCTTCGTCCTTTATTCTTAAGAGTCTACACACGACTAGAAATAAAGATACGGCTGGTCATGCTGCATGGATCCGCGGCCAGCCCGCACTGCGCGGTCAGTGGACAGGCCGTGTCGCTCTCGGAGAGAAGGTGAGGTTAGTTCAGGTCAGTTAAATTTGCGGTCTAGCTTCGTCCGGGACTTTTCTCTAGAGTGGCCCGGCCAGGGAGAGGTCAAGCTAGGTCGGCTTATATCGGGCCCCCACGAGGAACCATGCACCACTCGGTTTGCGATATTGAATGATGCATTGTGTTATGCAGCATGCTATAACGTGGACACACGTTTGTGCTAATATGTGCACACATGTATGTAGTAAATACATGTGCACACATGAACAGTAAAGGAAAATTGGCACTCCTACTGAGAAATTGTAGCAGTTATCGAATCTATTGTTCCATTACATATATAACTATGAAACAGCATTTTCAACGAAATTAATGCATTGAGAAATGTGAATTATTGTAACACCACAGCTCAATATGCAGCAGATGCGATAAGGCATACTTTGGTGAAACGGGACGTACCTTCAACACCAAGATCAACGAACATCGAGCAGACATCTGTCACCACAGGACTTCCAACGCCATGATGATTCATGTAGATGAAGCTGGATACTTACCGAACTGGAAGGAAGCTTAAGTAATCCACAAAGAATTGAATAAACACAAAAAAAATAAATCTTGGAAGTTGCATACATCGCGTTGGAGAAGAATATAAAACCGCATCAGTCGGATCCGAACTATCCAAGGTCGCGGCAGAAGTTATGCGAATAACGAGTGCAAGGTCACAATCGTAAGGTGATTCACTAGCTCACATATAATATGAATATGCTATATATTTTCTCTAATGTATGTATTTCTGACGAAGATATATTCGCAACCGGTAAAATAAACCTCTCTTGGATTGTAAAGATATTCATTCTCATTTATACCTTTCTATATTGTCAACATGAATACGGTTCATCCTATGTTATCTAGCGAAAAGGCTAAAAGTGAGTAAACGATTAAAAGATGTCAAAGATCGTAATGCACTTCAGAATAGTAAAGTACTGAAAAAGGCTAGGTAAGGCGGAGATTAGTAAAATGGGGTTAAGAACGATTAGATCAAATACAGGGTATCAATACGGCTGAGGAAGTGGAAGAAAAGAATAAGGGATTCCGTCAGGGATAATAAACGTGTTTCAGTAAAGCGGGATAGGACAACAAAATGTGTGAGACTGAAAGAGGTACCGTCATGAAGCAACCAGAGGGTAATAAGGGAAGAAGTGGGAGTCGGAAAAATAGAAGGACCCGGGGACAGAGACAAGGGACCAGGAAAAGGAGGTGAAGTATATGGAAGAATGCCAAGAGTGAATGGAGCGTTCTCATGGGTGATGTTCAGGAAGCTTTTAGTGTTCTCATGTTTCTAGAGGGGGTTTGGGAAACGAGGGGGTTTTATCCGGAAGAGAAGAGGAGACAGATCTCCGAGGAGCAGAGGAAGAGGTAATCGTTGGTGAGAATGCGGTGAGACATGGGGTGGAACATTTAGGTTGCATGTTGCGACAGGTAAAGTGATTAGAAAGGGGAAGTGGCAGACTGGAGTATGTGCATTTATAATAGTAAAAGAATTTGACTGGGAGATAGAGTGGGTACATGCGGGGTGGTAAGAGATATTAGGGAATATACCAAGACATCTTAGAAAGGAAGACGTTCGGTATGAAGGAATGCGAAAGAACGAGTCGGCGTGCTTACTGTCTGGCCTCGCGTAGAATGAGGCCAAATTTTAATCTGAGAACTGCTACCGCAGACTCGAATTTGTAGGCAGGGTAGCTCCTAAAAAAATATGGGAGCTACCACAATTACACCCGTGCGTAATTGTGCATAGCAATTTGAGCTGCCGTGACCGGGCTGGGCACAGATAACAGTGGGCTGTGGAGCAGCATCGTTCAACAGTATGGTTAAAACGCCAACATTTCAGACAGTGACGGGGGAAGGGTCGAAATGGTCAGACAAGACAGGACTTTCCACCAATAAACTTCATGGGGGAGGTAACGTCTACGGAAGGTTATCTTGGCAATAATGGTGTAATTGTAAGTAGGAGGAGTAGTAAGATGAGTGGATGAGGGGTCTCAGTCGATTTGGGACATAATTAGAAAGTTTGGAATATATCAGTTTCTGCAATGGAGTTGGTTGTGGAGATTTGAGAAATTAAGGTTTCCTTATGAGGGGGAGAAGAGCCGGGCATCTGAGTGGTAGACGAAGAGGTAGTTAGAGAAATGAGGATTTTCTTGTGAGGGGAGAAGAGACAGACAGACGCCTAAGGGGTAGAGGAGGAGGGTGCAGCCATGGTCTTTATAAGTACCTTGGGTGTGGCAGATGGGATGAGGTTTAGTCTTTGCGACAGCAAGAACAAAAAAGAGGAAGTAGGTGTTTGACACACGTGCCTGATTGTGCAGAGCATTTTGATATGTTTGGCACATAGAGGTTATCAAGTTTTGGAGTGGCAGTGTTTGGCAGGGTGGCTTAGATGCCAAAAGGGTTGGTTGATATAGTTGGACAGGGTGGGGGGGGGGGAATTTACCAATATAACCATTGGGGAGGTCATGTCTACAGAAAGTATCCTTGGCAATAGTGATGGAGTATAAAAGGTGATATATATAAAAGGTACCGATAGCCCTTCTATATGGGTTGTTTGAATTTACTGGTGGTGCAGTGATACAATGATGTGGTTTCACACTTATTAATAACACACAATATGAAAAGACTACGATATGCCAGTAGTCAGTGTGGGTGTCAGCCTGGCCAACCCGCCGGAGAGGCAAGGCTGGCCGGTCATGGGCAAGCTCGCCGAAGATCTGAGGGGGAGGTCAGGTTCTCCTGACCTCTTATAAGCCTTGGGGATACCCCGGCGCAGGCAGACAAGCATGGCCTGGGTGAAGCGCGATCCGCTCCCCATGTGGGTACACACTCCCCACGTGGGTAGCACACACGTGGCGTCCTAAGAGGTGTATAGTCTCTTTTATAGCATCCTATATGGAGGACTTATGGCAGCCTCTAGGAGGAATGGTGCAGCATCGTACTGATAACTGTATCACAGTCAACAAGGCAGCCAAGTGAGTCTTCTCCACAGTCTGACCAATCCTTGTTGTAGACAGGGCAGTTTGTCGGGGAAATGAGACTGTTCTGAGTCTTCTACACATTCTGACCAATCCTTGTCATAGACAGGGCAATTTGACGGGGAAATGAGACCGTTCCGATGAGGCAAGCCAGGAATAGGTTTGCCAGTGAAGACAGTCAGTGCTGATAATGTTTTAGTGGAGGAGATGGAGTAGAGGATGTTGGTAAAGGAGGAATGTTTTCTAGAGCTTGAGTAATAGCCTGAACAGATGATTTGGACTAATCTGAGATGACAGTAGGCAGTGAGGAGGGGGAAGTAGTAGCAGTGTTCAGAATTGTGGTCAAAAGAGAGCCTGGGATTGGGGAACTGGGAGAATTAAAATCAGTGGGGTAGTTAATTAAGGAGCAAGCCTCAATGCCCCGAATAGAGGTACAAAATCATTATTTCTGGCCATGGTAAGCCTGGAGTATGTTGGAGAGAAGATACAGTTCACCCCTCTGGGTTCCCTTAAGGGATAAGGGCTTAGCAACTAAACAAGGAAATACTGTTCCCATGGCTCCTCTAAGCCATTCATGACTAGCACAAAGTCAGCCCTTCAACCTTTCAACACAGCTCTCTTACCTTCGGAAGTAGACAGTAGAAGGGGTTAAAGAAGATAAGGAAAAGAAAAGGGGAAGACTGTGTAAGATTAGTTGAGTCAAGGGCTGAGGCTCACGGTAGGGGTGATCTCCAGCATTAGGCCCCAAGTCTCCATTTCCTAAGCCCCCCCAAAGACAACAAAGGGTATGGGTGTTCTTCCCCTATTTATTGCCTGGAATATGGTCTTTCTGAGGGCCTTCCATTTTGTTTCTGCCCTAGAGGCTAGTGGGTCTTTGCAATACTAGATCAGTTTGGGGTGTTGGTAGCATTTGCACATTGCTAACCTTGCAAGTTTTTTACAGGTGTGTAGTTACCTATGGCACACCATTCACCTTGCTTCAGCATTGGACAATTTTTGTATTTCTTTGATGGAGACGATTTTCTGCAGAAATCACAGCTCCTGCCTTAAGCTAATTTAGACTTTGTTGCAGTCGTCACATTTGAGAGTATTATATTTGTGGTCCATGTACCAATCCAAGATATTTTTATGCAATACTTTTGATACTTCCAGTATATTTCATTCAGTTTCTAATGTACCATCATCATTATCTATAAAACTCATCATTATCTATAAAACTGAAAGATTATATTCAGCTTTGGTTGTCATCTTATTTCATATAAAATACTCAAGGTAATGGACAAGAAAACTACAACTTCATATTTTATGTTATATTGAACAAAAAAATATTGATTTGCCACTAACTCAGTATAAAAATACATTTTCCGTTAGGTACTGGCAAAAGTTAAAATAATTTCAAACAAGAGACCCTATACTCATTCCAGAATAAATACAGTAATAATTATATTATTATTATTTTGTGCATTACCATTCAAATATTAGTTATGTAATGTGGGTACAGAACTCAGATAACCTCTTGAGGGTAGTATTCCTCCAGGCACAAGTCAGTGGTACCCCTGGAATGTATCCTCTGATGGACATTAAATCCACATTACACATACAGAAGCACTGTACACTAGTTGACTATAAAAAGAGCAGGAAAACAGATGTACATTTCCAGGGAGATAAAAGTTTTCTACAATGAGACGACATCTGATCTCAGCTTGGAATTGTTACATGAAAAATAGTGATTAGTGTTCTCTACAAATATACTTCTCTTTTCTTATAGGTTACCTTAATGACACTGGGAATAAGATAATGCATATGAAGAGGCTGTGTGTGAACTTACTACATTTCACTAATTATTTTCAGAAACTGAATAAATTAAAGGAACAAATTACAAAAATAATTTTTTGTTATGAATCTAGTTCTCTTCATAAAATTGTAAAGAAAGACCTGACTGACTAAATATAATATACATGCTTTACATACTGGTTATATTCATATGCACTTCCTCAAGAGTTTAAAATTTGTTATAAACAAATGAATAATTCTTCTGAAACCCACTCCTACATTTTACATCCAAGAAGATGCATCCTCAAGGTATAATATCACATGTCTGTATGGCAATGAAATGTACCCTTGAAACTTCTCTTGCCAGAAGGCACACTGACATCCTTTTATCACACTTGAAAAATACCAGTTATCACCCTATGCACAGTCACCCGCATTAAACAAACATTCACATCATATTACATAACACTCATGGTAGAACTCTATCTGGAAGTATTTTTGTCTCTTCTTTTGTCATCCCTGAATGAGAAATTATAATGCAGATTTCTTTCCTCACTTGCTTCCCTCACCTTTATCTCTCTGATTTTGACTTTGAACTGCATCCTTTGACTCGCCATCTTTTCCTTTGGAATCATCCCCATCTTTGTCCTTCTTATTCTTAATAAGCTCCATCAAGGAATCAATTCTTGTTGGTTGTGCAATCTGGAGAACCATGTGTGCCTCCTCTAGGATTAAGAGGCCATTGCGCGCATCCCCTGATGCAAGGTTGTGTCTTCTTGTGACATGCTCCTGTAAAAAAGAAAGAAAAAAATATACATGCATTTAATATTCATTATTACATAAAAAAAGAAGGAAAAAAAAATCTATTATTAGGAAATTCACCTTTTTATATACACTTTCTCACACCCACCCACCCACACACACACACACACACACACACTAACTTACCCACCACCCACCCACCCACACACCCACACACCCACACACCCACACAACACACACACACACACACACACACACACACACACACACACACACACACACACACACACACACACACACACACACACACACACACACACACACTCTCTCTCTCTCTCTCTCTCTCTCTCTCTCTCTCTCTCTCTCTCTCTCTCTCTCTCTCTCTCTCTCTCTCTCTAATGCAACGAGACTTGTATCCCTGATTTGCCAACTACTTTTGGGTATCTGAATAATGCATGACATATTCTATCCCTAAAGGGAATAAAATAATCTCACAGTGCATTCACTATATTCCAAAATGACAATTCAAGACAAGATTAAAACAATACAAACTTGAAAATCAAAATACCAACTCTTCCGAAACATATGGTTCTACTCAATTTTAATGTTTCAAAACCCCCCTCCTTACGATACTTTCCTGTGTAGCTGTACATATACATATACATACATAAATAATTATGTATCCATATATACATATATATATATATATATATATATATATATATATATATATATATATATAATATATATTTATATAATATGTATATATATATATATATATATTATATTATATATATTATTATATAGAATTATATATATATATATATATATATATATATATATATATATATATACATATAATATATATAATAAATATAATAATATATATATATATATATATATATATTATAATATATATATATATTATATATATATATAC